TGCATCCATAAAAGCCTTAATAAAACAAATGTTGATATAGTAGTGTTTTCTTTGTTTTAAAATACAGAGTGTTGGTGTAGACGGTATATTCTTGTCTGCTTTATATCTTATGAGTAAATACTGTATGAACCTATTTAAGAGGGGGAGGGGGTTTGCATCTTAAGATTAAATATCAAAACTTTTTGTTTCAAAAAAATATTTTGTGGAAATTACCTCAACAAAAAAATCCCACTAAAGAATCATTTTGTACAAAATGACATCCTTTTTTTCCCTTTAACAAAGCTGTTAAATGTGTCTATACTATAGCATCAATGACAGATGATTAATGGATATGGAGTAGTTGGTGGAATGAGAACTAGCAGGGGAAGCAGAAGCACTGGGAGGAAACCTACCCCAGTGCCACTTTGTCCATCACAAACACCACATGACCTGACATGGAATTGAAACCAGGCTGCTGCAGTGTGAATCTGGTAACTAACCACATAAGCTATGGTACAGCCCAAAAATGACACTATTGTTTATGTCTGAATCGTTCAAAGGACGTCATATCTTGCCATTTCTTCCACCAGCATAAAATCACAATAATTCAGTGAATGGCAATACCCAGATAGTCGTCAAGAAGAGAATCTTAAAGTCTTAATATTTTATTTTCACTTTTAACTTGATTCATGTTTGAAGATAGCTCAGTGAGTCACAAAGTAGATTAATATATACACAAAAAAGAAATAGTTTATCCTCAAAGGAGCCCCTCACAGAATGAATGGAGCATTTAATTCTGGTAATAACTTTCCACGATCAGAACATTAAAACTTTCTCAAACTAGAAAATCATTAACTTCATAGTGTGAAAATCATGTTTTGAAATCATCACTGAACAATTCATAAATTACAAATACTTTTAAACTTGCATGCACCCAAAAGGAGGTGATATGTTTGCATACCTTCTTACCATTTGTGTTCTTGGCTCTGGCTGAAATTTTATAGTTAGTGGCAAATGCGTAGAGATGAGAGGAGCATGGCACCATGGTGTCATGGCGGTCACATTGGTCACATTGCCCACCAATAATGAGAGTTTCGTGGGGTTGTTACGATAATGACTGGTAAATACTGTAGTTACACATGTTTCTTCTTCTCTAATGACTGTTTACAACCCCTGGCCATGAAGTCACAAAAGCTGTGTTAATGTTTACTTCTGCAATCTCTATGTAGAAATAATGGCTGCCAGGAGTGAAAAAGGCACACTAGGCCAGAATGTGAGTGGCATAATAATTAATCCTTATTATTATGGATAAACTGTGAATGGCATGTTAATTAATCATTCGTATTATTATATGTTATTGTCTATAAAGCATGGAAATAAAAGTCCGTAATATATATATATATATGTATACACATTGTCAAGTGTTAGTGAATAGACAGGTGTTTGACATTTACATTTATTCAACATTAATGACATAACTATAAATATATATTTATCTTTCACTGATTAACTCATATGATAGCATATTGAAATCTGAGGTATGACATAGATTATTTACATATTACCAGAATTAATGCAGTTGTTAGCCGATCTTGAAACGTTTTGTGCCGACTGCATGGTGGCTAGCTTCATTAGTTCCAACAACAAGGGTCGTGGGAGCTATCTTCCTTCCAACATTAACAGGAACTTCCTCTTTAAAAGACAGATCCCAGTTACAGGGCCCCAGTTGGATGAATTCACTCAAATTGGACTGATTGTTATTGTATGTTTCTCCCATTACTGCAATAGGAGTGTCCCCTGTCTCCAGAGCCACTTTGTGCTCAATAATGAAGAATATATATTCATCATATAGTAGACAGATCACATGAAGGGAGCCAAAGCTTGCTGTACTTCTGAGTGATGTGTCTATGATAACCAGTGAACTGTAAAATGACCATTTGAGTAGGAACTGTCTTGCAGCCTTTGCAAAGTCGGGTGTTCTTTCATATGGTTTCAGCACCTGTAAAATGACAGCCTCCAACCAGGCTGACCATTGCTCTAATGAACTCTGCTCATGCAGTATCTTTTTGAAGACAACTTCCAGTTGTACCGTACTATCATCACACTGATGTACCCATGATGCTTGGGCTTGTATTTTGTGAAAGCCAACTTGATTGAGGTCAACCAGCATCTGGTGTATCAGTGAAGACTTCTGAAGAACACGATGTTCAGCTTGAGCCAAATGGTTTAGTAAGCTGTAGCGCCACAATGTCTGTGCCAGGACACTCACAGCAGACACTTTGATGTGCACCATTTCCTCAGGATAGTTTGTCATGACTCTTTTTAGACACAATTCCAGTCCATTTGCAAAGTTTTGAATTGATTGTGTTATTGAACTTGGAATTGGCACAAGAATATTAGGAATGAGAGTGTTGACTGCAATCTGATGGAACAGGCAACCCATACGCCAGAAAAACTGTTGAACTGGCACACACTTGCATAAGAGATACAGCTTCCTTTTGGACAAATATTTCTCCTGGTCACATTCGTCACCATTGTTATTATCTTCACTTCGCCAGAATTCTCTCCACAAACTCTCAACAGTCTGGAATTTAAAGTTCACAATGTTGTATTTTAGCATCCTGTTACACTCCCCCAACCAAACAGGGAACACACAACATGAGACACGATATACACTGAGAGTAAGAGGAACGACTCCCATAGTGGTGGAACTATGCATGGTGTTAGAATTTGGACAGATAAGATAAATAATTTTAACATGTTTTTAGTATATAAATATTTATTATAATTGGCGAACATTTTTAAATACTTTTAAATTTTACAATTACATAATGGCAAGCAATGAAATAGATTAACGTAAATGGAGCACTTGATGATGGCACTATAGTGCCAAAACATGTTGTGAAATAACAAGTGAAATTGAGTGCACTAAAAGATGGACACTGCATACATATCATGGATTAAAGTTCACAATTGAATCCACAAAGGCCACACAGTGTTCTATGTAGATAATGACGAAATGTGTCCAGATCTCCCATGTGCAGTCCTCAGGTAGGTCTAGAGGAAATTCTGTATCTGGAAAGTCAGGTATTGCTTCTGGTAGGTCGCCTGGATACAGGTGTGGGTGAGGATCCTGTTGTAATGAAGTGAAGTGACACAAGCCGACTGAACTGTTTGCATTTTGCTCATGTTTGTTTCCTGATTTCAGAATGCCAGTCCCACTGACACCTCAGTGGGATCAGAAATTACGGCGTCTCACTGGTTTTTGCTGGCAATCAACTAAGTCCTCTTCTTCTGCCAGTTTACTCACTGCTGATCCAGGAATTAGGCAGATTCCACAATAGTGGGACTTGTTATTACCCCTTTTACCAAGTCTTCTCATTTTCACATGAGAAAAAAACACTTCTGATGACCTTCCCTAGCGATGTTAGACTAAGAGGTTTTAATTTGTCTTTGTTACAGTGATGCAGGTAAAGTTTGTACATTGTAGAACGAGGAAGGGTCATATTTGGAGAAAATTCAAAGTTCTGCAACAACCATTCATCAATGGACAACAAAGTGTTAGTGGTGACTGAGTGTGTTGCAGTGACGGCATGGACTGTATCTGGATCGACATCTTCCTGTTTAAGGTAGGCACCACTCTCCTTAGCAAGCAACTGGTCTGTAGTGGTTCTGTGCGTTAAATCACTTTCTGTTGCAGTGATGGCATGGACCATACCTGGATCAACATCTTCCTGTTTAAGGTAGGCACCACTCTCCTTAGCAAGCAACTGGTCTGTGATGGCATGGACCATATCTGGATCGACAGCTTCCTGTTTAAAGTAGGCACCACTCTCCTTAGCAAGCAACTGGTCTGTGATGGCATGGACCGTATCTGGATCGACAGCTTCCTGTTTAAGGTAGGCACCACTCTCCTTAGCAAGCAACTGGTCTGTGATGGCATGGACCATATCTGGATCGACAGCTTCCTGTTTAAAGTAGGCACCACTCTCCTTAGCAAGCAACTGGTCTGTGATGGCATGGACCGTATCTGGATCGACAGCTTCCTGTTTAAGGTAGGCACCACTCTCCTTAGCAAGCAACTGGTCTGTGATGGCATGGACCATATCTGGATCGACAGCTTCCTGTTTAAAGTAGGCACCACTCTCCTTAGCAAGCAACTGGTCTGTGATGGCATGGACCGTATCTGGATCGACAGCTTCCTGTTTAAGGTAGGCACCACTCTCCTTAGCAAGCAACTGGTCTGTGATGGCATGGACCATATCTGGATCGACAGCTTCCTGTTTAAAGTAGGCACCACTCTCCTTAGCAAGCAACTGGTCTGTGATGGCATGGACCGTATCTGGATCGACAGCTTCCTGTTTAAGGTAGGCACCACTCTCCTTAGCAAGCAACTGGTCTGTAGTGGTTCCGTGCATTAAATCACTTTCCATCTGATTACATGTAACTGCACTAGTGTTTTTGGAGTAGTGTTGGGCAGATACTGAGAAGTATATTTCAGTTGGTTCTTCCTCCATGTCCATTGGCTGCAACTTGAGTAAGTCAGAATAGATGGCCTGGTATGTTTCCCCTAAGTACTCACCCTCCTGGCTCATGAGTTGCTCCCACTCTTCAGTCTCCATGTTTGACAGTTACCTTGTGGCTGCAACAGTGTATTTACTCCTGCTGATCTGTTCAAAATGTCCGAGATTCACTTCCGCGCTCTTACAAGTTCCATCCACAACTGTCTGTCTAGACCATTATATAATCGCGGCTGCAACAGTGTATTTACATCTGAGCTGTTTGAAACATCCGGCTTTCACTTCCGCACTCTTACAAGTTCAGTCCTCGACTGAATATCTAGATCGGTTGAACTGGCACACACTTGCATAAGAGATACAGCTTCCTTTAGGACAAATATTTCTCCTGGTCACATTCGTCGCCATTGTTATTATTTTGACTTCACCAGAATTCTCTCCACAAACTCTCAACAGTCTGGAATTTAAAGTTCACAATTGAATCCACAAAGGCCGCACAGTGTTCTATGTAGATACGATGAAAGGTGTCCAGATCTCCCATGTGCAGTTCTCAGGTAGGACTAGAATGAATTCTATATCTGGAAAGTCAGGTACTGCTTCTGGTAGGTCACCTGGATACAGGTGTGGGTGAGGATCCTGTTGTAATGGAGGGAAGTGACACAAGCCGACTGAACTGTTTGCATTTTCCTCATGTTTGTTTCCTGTTTTCAGAATGCCAGTCCCACTGACACCTGAGCGGGACCAGAATTTATGGCGTCTCACTGGTTTTTTCTGGCAATCAACTAAGTCCTCTTCTTCTGCCAGTTTACTCACTGCTGATCCAGGAATTAGGCAGATTCCACAATAGTGGGACTTCTTATTACCCCTTTTACCAAGTCTTCTCTTTTTCACATGAGAAAAAACACTTCTGATCACCTTCCCTAGCAATGATCGACTAAGAGGTTTTAATTTGTCTTTGTTACAATGATGCAGGTAAAGTTTGTACATTGTAGAACAAGGAAGTCTCAAATTTGGAGAAAATTCAAAGTTCTGCAACAACCATTCATTACTGGACAAAAAAGTGTTCGTGGTGACTGAGTGTGTTGCAGTGACAGTATGGACTGTATCTGGATTGACAGCTTCCTGTTTAAGGTAGGCACCACTCCCCTTAGCAAGCAACTGGTCTGTAGTGGTTCTGTGCGTTAAATGACTTTCTGTTGCAGTGATGGCATGGACCATATCTGGATCGACAGCTTCCTGTTTAAGGTAGGCACCACTCTCCTTAGCATGCAACTGGTCTGTAGCGGTTCCGTGCTTTAAATCACTTTCCATCTGATATGGAGCTAGTTCAAAGTTCTGCAGATACCATTCAGCATCGGACATTGAGGTGTTAGTGGTGAGTGAGTGTGTTGCAGTGACGGTATGAACGGTATCTGGATCGACATCTTGTTGTTTAAGGTAGGCACCAATCTCCTTAGCAAGCAACTGGTCTGCAGTGGTTCCGTCCATTAAATCACTTTCCGTCTGATTACATGTAACTGCACTAGTGTTTTTGGAGTAGTGTTGGCCAGATACTGAGAAGTATATTTCAGTTGGTTCTTCCTCCATGTCCATTGGCTGCAACTTGAGTAAGTCAGAATAGATGGCCTGGTATGTTTCCCCTAAGTACTCACCCTCCTGGCTCATGAGTTGCTCCCACTCTTCAGTCTCCATGTTTGACAGTTACCTTGTGGCTGCAACAGTGTATTTACTCCTGCTGATCTGTTCAAAATGTCCGAGATTCACTTCCGCGCTCTTACAAGTTCCGTCCACGACTGTCTGTCTAGACCGTTATATAATCGCGGCTGCAACAGTGTATTTACACCTGAGCGGTTTGAAACGTCCAGCTTCCACTTCCGCACTCTTACAAGTTTCGTCCTCGACTGAAAGTCTAGATCGGTGGAGAACCTTATATACTCGCCGTGTATGCCTGTTACGTCATCGCCGCCAGCTCATCAGCGCATGTTACGTTAACGTCGCGTGCGCTTGTTACGTAATAGCCGTCTGCGCTTCTGCGCTTTCCACGTCATCGCCGCCTGCGCCTGTAACAGAGCCTCTGTGTTTAGCAACGCTGCGCTTGTTAGGACCCACAATATCTTTTGCTCGTATGATGTTTTGACGTAGTCCGAGTATATACACATGTGCAACATTAAAATAAGTAATTTTTCCTTGTACTTGGACCTAGTTCCATATTTCTTCCAACAGATACAGTTTTGGTGTCAGGTAGTGTTAGTTGAGTTGTATCTGATTTAATTTAAATTAGATTTGTGTTGGATATAATAAACATAACCTCCGCATAGGGCGCATTTTGCTGGAGCATTTGGATTATTTTTACACAGGTTGTGTTGTGTTCGCCTCCGCATTGAACAAAAGTATACGGTCTTGCGCAATATGTTTTTGTATGCCCTTAGCACTGACATCTTGTTCATTGTACAATGTCGTTTCTCTCCCTAAGGGCTTCGACTGTTATTTTCATATTGCATAAGTATTTAATTTCATATATGCTCATATTGTTTTCTTTAGGTTCTAGGTCTCATGATAAACAAAGGCAGTGGTTCTGTTGTTTGACGATGTCTAACATTTAGTATATTGCGGACAGCATGACCTTGTTTTTGTAGTTCCTGATTTATTTCGTCCGTGATTACTGAGTGATGTAGATTTGGTATTACTACCCTATAGGCCTTTTCTTCTCTGATCTGGTATGTATGATCTATTTTTTCTTGATGGAGCCGGGTGATTAATTTCCGATGGGATTATGATATGGTCACATTGATTTTTATTTTCTCTTTTGAGAGTGCTTTGCAGTAATACTGTTCTTCTAGCTACGTGTTTTACCAGTACACGGTAGTGTGTTACCCCTGCATATATATACACGGGGGTTTATATTTTCTTGGTGTAACTAGTAAGATGGCGGACCAAATAGGTAAATGTGAGCAATGTTGGGAAGAAAATAACTGCTATTCGCGATGTTCCCGTGATTGGAGTGTTGAAACAATAAATAGTTACCAGTATCAAAAGTGTGTAAATTGTAAAGTGACTGAAAACTTGAGAACTGACCTAGAAGAGTGTAATAAAATCTTAGGAATAGCAAATCGTCAAGCGGTGAAAGAAGCTATTCTGACGGAAATTAGTGTTCTATTAGGAAAGATAGAGAGTCTAAAAGGCCAGACTTATAATTGGCAGAAAAAAGAGGATAGTTGATGCAAGGTAACTAAGGGTTGTAAAAGACCGGTTTTAGTAAATAGCCAATCTATACCGGCATGAAATATTTTTCAACCCCTCAGTAACTTTAATGAAGGTGAATCTGTAGGAAGACTCGAAATGGATGAACAAAAATTTGAAAAATGTGATAAAGCTGTAGTAGTGGAAAGGACGACAAAGAAGAGAATTTTAATAGTGGGTGATAGCCACAGTAAAGGAATGACAATGGAAATGCAACATGCGGGTATCATGGCGGCTGCTGAAACTAGTTAGTTTTGGCGGTTACAGTTTTGACTGCTTCAACAGAGGCTAATAATGGAAGTTTTATGTAGTTGCTGTTATCAAATTAAATCGAAGTATGAAAAGTATTATTAGAACTTAGTTCGGCCAGATAAATTATAAAGCTACTGCAGGTAGAGAGAAATCCCAATGTAAACACACTCGCGAGTAATACAAATCAGGGTATTGACTATGATCAACACACCACCAAATTTGATAACTGGGTACAAGCATCTTATGGTAGAAGTAATAGGAGCAGAAAATTATATAAACAATGCGCCCAGTCAATACCAACGATTATAAATCGTTTCGCTCCACTACATAACTTACCTAACCTCAACAATGACAGTACAGTCGTAAACACTTTGGAATATGTGACCGAAATGAACGGTGTAAAGAAGCAGAAGTCATATTCGTCTAATCAAGTCAGTATGACTAAATCTTCCCAATTATCGAGTACCTTCGGGGCATATAAGAGCATGGTGAATGTATACAACAAAAAGGTTGGAAATAAGAGTAAGCGTAAAGTAGTAATTATAGGTGACAGCCACTCCAGAGGATTGGCGAAAGAAGTGAAGTTTCATCTGGACAAGAATTATGAAGTAATTGGTCTTGTTAAACCAGGAGCGGACACTGAGAAAATAGTGACTTCGGGAATGAGTGACACAGTGAATTTATCGAAAAGTGATGTGATCGTGTTCTGTGGTGGTTCCAATGCTGTGAGCAAGAACAAGGCCAGTGTTGCCTTAAAACATATCTCAGACTTTGTAAAGGCTAATAGCAGCACAAATATCCTACTAAGTGCACCACACAGATATGATTTGATGGATTTCTCCTGCGTTAATAATGAAATTAAAATATTCTATAGGAAGTTAAAGAAATATGTCAAAACCAATACACATACATCAGTTCTAGAAAATGATCTCAATAGAGAATTCTTTACAAAACATGGGCTGCATCTAAATGGGCAAGGGAAAGAAAAGATTGCCATTCAAATAGTAGCTCAAATTTCCACCATCTTAGGGAGAAAGTAGAAGGTTTAATTAGCTTAGGATGGAAAAATGATCAAATAAAGGGAGATACCACCATAGTATCTGAAAACAAACGAAATCTTCATAAATAGCGAGAATGAATTTAACCAACTGGCCACCTTAGATCCCGTAGAAACTTGTCCCAGAACATCAAACAGGCAAAAGAAAGTTCCAGTGACCAGGAAAAATGATTTTTTATGGTAAATGATATTCACAAAGTACCCAATATACTTCAGATCACTCCCCCAACTCATCCACTGCCACCCTACATATAAATACTCAATCTCAGATAGGTTGTGAGGCTGTAGAACACGTTCCTGCAGTTAACTCTTTCAAGATATACCATCAGAATTTCCGGGGACTGAATAAATCTCAGCCTAAGCTGTATTTCATCAAAATATAAGAGGGCTCCAGCATAAAATTGTTGAACTGACTTGTATGCTGTATAGCCATGACTTAAGTCCACACGTTATTTGTATCACAGAACATTATTTGGTAGAGCAGAAATTATTAACAATAAAACCTGAAAATTATTATTTGGCCTCCAACTTTTCACGTCAATATAATATTGGAGGTGGAGCATGCATCTACTGTAAATCCGATCTGAGCTGTAATGTGGATATTTCCAAATATTGTATTGAAAAGGTCATAGAGGCTTGTGCAATTCAGACGAAAATTGGTAACAATATTTTTATACTTTAATGTATCTATAAATCTCCTAGTGGTAACATCAAGAATTTGTCAATCAACTAGAAATAATTTTAAAATTTTTATATAAGGCTAAGTTAGAAATTATATTGTGTGGTGATTTTAATGTAAACTTTTTAAGTAATTCAAACACTGTTCACCAGATAATCTCACTTTTGTATTCATATAATTTATTTCGCGTTGTCGACTTTTCCCTACAAGGATAACCAAAGAATCTAGCACTGCTATAGACAATATATTTTTGGATTATAATAGGTTAAACACTGTTCAAGTATATTCAGTAATGAATGGGCTCTCAGACCATGATGCACAATACTTGATGATAAATAATGTTTTTGAATCTCAAGTAAAGAACAATAGGCTTGTTAGGAAAAGACTAATAACCAAGTCTAGAGTCTTAAAATTTATTGACATGTTACACAATGAGGAATGGGACGGTACCCTGGATAACACAGATGTTAATGCTAGTTTTAATAAATTTTTGAGTACCTTTTTAGTTAATTTTGAATCATGTTTTCCTATGCAATATGTGGTAAATACTGTGTATAATAATCAGTGGATTACTAATGGAATTAGAGTGCCCTGTATGCGTAAAAAATATCTTTACATGATGAGTAGAGTAACTAGTTGTCCTAAATTAAAAGAGTATTATACTCGATATTGTTCCTTATTAAGAAAGGTCATCTATAAAGCAAAAGAAATGTATTATAATGATTTGTTAACCGAATCCACTAACAAATCCAAGGTGTCATGGAAAATTATTAACAACGAAGTGGGTCATGCTTCCAAAAAGAAGTTTATTCCCACAGAATTAAGATGTGATA